TATATATACACTGTACATATATATTATTTTAAATGTCTAAGACTCACTTCTGATTAATAAATGTGTAAATTTCCAGCTGGTCAGAACTCATTGATTTGTACAAAAAAAAAACACCTGTGAAACGCAAAATACCTTGTTAAAGCCACTGTTTAAGTCATTTAAATTAGTTATTTATTTCAAATTTCGATTCCTATAAAATTCACAATTTTCTCAGCTTTATTTTGAATCTTAGTTTGTAAAAACCGACCAAGAAATAAGGAGGTTATATGAGTTTTTCATCAGGAAGACGCCTCACAGTCCATTGACCTCCATTCATTTTGTTGAGGCTCCTCAGTGCAGAACAGATCTCCTGTGTGTGCACGTCAATGTAGCTAGCAACACACTAGTCACGCCCAATCCAGTAATATGTATCAATGGTTCTGACCCGGCCTCAGGACAGTGTCTTAAAGGGTCAGGCTATTTACGGAGTCAAGACGTCATACATTAATTTCTCATCACTAATGTTTGATCATGGTTCTTACAGGATGTGTTGTGTTAAACCAGGCATGTATCTAAATGAAAGCCTCCTGAGTCTGAAACCCTCATCAAGAGCCCCACAACCCAGTCTGCACAGAAATCATCAGTTCAAGCAGAAATAATCACATAAAAAAAAAGATATTGCTGTTCACCTAAGAAAAAACTATACAATGTGAAGTGTTTTTAAAAATCAGTGGATAAACAGACCCCAATAAATTGCTACAAAAATACTATAATTTTTACTATAATACTAGATAATTTGCATTTCCTGTGAAAATACTAGTGTGAATGCATCAAGCTGAAAACATAAGCTGAAAGCTGCTAAAATTGAGTTGAAAATATTTAATAGTAAAAGTGTTAATGAGCTCACTTTGGAAAGATGAAAGAAGCAAAAAAAAAAAAGCCTAACTTTGCAGAAAAACAGTAAAAAGGAGCACAAATCACAACAAAGCACAAATAAGTCTGTTTAGCTAATAACAGCTGAAAATTAGCTAAAATTGCAGCAAACAGCTAAATATAGCAGAAAACATCTATAAGAAGCACAAATAGCACAAAGTAGCAGAAGAAAGCACAAGAAAAAGCAGAAGAATAGCAGAAAGAAGCAGATCCATTGTTAAAGTAGCATAAAATAGCTAAAATTAGCATAAAATTGGCTAAAGGTAGCAGCCACAAGTTGAAATTGGCACCCAGATAAAGAAAGTGTTATAAAAAATGTAAAAGTAGCAGAAACAAATTATATTATATAAGTGCAAAAAAGTGATAATTTGTAGTAAAATGGCTAAAACAGCTGAAATTTTCAGTAAAACAGCTAAAAAGTAGCTGGAATTTTAATTAGCATAAGAAAATATAAGGAGCACAAGTTTGCTGAACTTAAATGGAAAAACATTGTAATAGCTACAAAAAGTGCATTTAGCTTAGAAAAGCTAGCTTTAGCTAATAGCAGCTAAACATTAGCTAAAATTTCAGCAAATAGCTGAATATAGCAGAAAACGTCTGTAAGAAGCATAAATAGAACAAAGTAGCAGAAAAAGCAGAAGAATAGCGGAAAGAAGAAGAATTTTAGCTGAAATAGCAGAACAAAGCTAAAATTTGCAAAAAAGTAGCTAGAATTAGCACAATAATGTGAAAAAGAGCATAAAAACAAAATGTGTAAGGTGTTGTAAAGATTTAGAAAAATTTTAAAGGATTTTAAGGATGTTGAAAACAGCGCCATTCATTTTCAATGGGAAAAAAGTGGCTAAAAAAGTGAAATAGTTAAAAAAAGTATAAATAGCTGAAATATCAAAAGTCATAGCAGCCCTCATATGAATGAGCTGAACGTTTTGATATATAAATTGTTGAAATAGCGCAAAAATTGTGGAATGAGTTAGATGCTGAAAAATGAAGGGAAGAAAAAAGGATCTCAATGTGTGAATGCTGTGAAGTGTTCACACAATTATTACAATCACAGACAAACTTCATAGGTTGGTACAAAAGGCACAGGTTGTAGTACCTCTTTGGTAAATTGTCAGTTTCCACAGCTTTGGAGCTGTTACAGCAAAGTTACATTTTTTATTGAGCTATTTGAAATGGAAAACATAAAAGCAAATATAATATTATTATTATATCTGATTAGTATCAGATTATTTAGGAAACTTGTCAAAACTAAATTAGAGAAATTTATCATTTTTCGTAACTAGATCATGTAATGAGAAAAAAACTATTTAAAGTTTTTGTGCTAATTG